TTGGAATGTCCTTTTGTTCCAAGATTGAGACCATTTACCTTCTTAACTGTGCTTAAAACTTAAATCAATTTTATCTTGCAGGTTTATGTCACTATGTATCTTAATGATTGCCAACGTACGGCTTTCTATGAAGGCATTGGACTTAACACAAAAGAGTTTGACATGCATGTCATCATTGAGGTTAGCTTCTGTGTGCATACTTGTTGAGATCACTATTGTTCTTGTTTTAACTTCCATTACTCTTTGTTACAATGACAATTTGTTTCTATTCAGTCCCAATATGAATTTAGTAACATGGTATGATAAGATGAAAATAATGGAGCCTTGAGTTACCATTAAGAAAACTATTACTAATAAGAGTTCATCAACAAAGAAACAAATGATGAACTCATAAATTACAAGCAGTTACTCAAGCTTCATTTCTGAATGATTTTGCAGACAAACCCACAACAGCTCGGATTTTCCCAGCTGTTCTTGATGTTGAAAACCCAGAATTCAAGAGGAAGTTGGACAGGATGGTGGAGCTAAACGAGAAGATTCTTGCTATTGGTGAGAGTGATGACATACCGTTGGTGAAGAACTTGAAGAGGATTCCACTGGTTGCTGGCTTGGTGTCTGAAATCTTGGCTGCATATTTAATGCCACCAATTGAATCAGGGTCTGTAGATTTGGCAGAGTTTGAACCGCAACTTGTGTACTGAAGTTGTATATAATTTGATTAAATTATCCATGTGCTTCTGATCTTCATCAAAATGTTCATCTTCAGTGCTACTAGTATTGCTGCCAAAGTAAATTATGGTTGTATAAGACAGTGAGGAAACGTTTACCACGATGAGGTCCTTTTTAGTTTAATCATATTTTTTTTCTCCAAACTCCCTTTTGTATCTCCATTTTGGTTTTATAGAAGTTCATTAGGAATCTTGGCCTTATGAGGTAACTTATCAGGAACGATATTTTCCTCACTCTTATGTTCCAATTGGATGCTCCTTGTCTTAACAGCAATATTGATGAGATTTCCCCTCAAACCCCACTCATCAACGGTTTATTTTGCCAATTTGGTTTCTCTTGAATTCAGTATTGTTTCTCTACAGTTAAATAGAGAATTTAAAAATAGATGTTCATTGTCATTGTGTAAGTTTTTTTTACTGTCAACTAAAAGGACTTATTTCCAGTATGATTTTCCGGTAGCTATAGAAAAAAATGAATAGGTTTACAATATATGAAAATTTATGATTGGATAAGTGTGTAGAAAATATTTATAGTTGATGCATGAGTGATTTCTTCAATAAAATGCAGAATGTGATAAAGGTATCAGCAACTAGCAAATATTCAAAAAACCAGAAAAAATGGTTCTATATTGTTGGCCGCCTATAATGTTTAAAAAAACACCAAAATCTTCTGGTACACCAAGAGATAAGCTTGCAATTTGAAGCATTGCATTGTCATTCAAAGAAAGTTATTTTCCTGCAAATATCTCACAATTTAGTTCCTCTCCATTGTAACATGTGAGGAGTTTATTCAGAGAAGATGAAGATTATCATAGACAAATATTAATCCCTCGTCCCTTTAGGTGTCATTTTATTTCTTTTCACGTATATATATATAGGAATAGGTAATCCAATTCCTTTCACAACAAAGAGAACAAGGTTGTCTAAGTAGTTTAAAAACTATATTTTTTAAGTGTTGGTGCATGAGATCCATAAATAATCGGATAATCTTGTAGAAGTTTAATTTTAGTCTCCACCAAAAATCACTTAATTATTATGAGATATTGTTATGTATTTATTTAGGTTTTAAAACTACCCTCGGGAATGAGTCCTCGTGTTTATATAGAAATCTCAAATAGGTCTCATATTTTTAACCGTCCTCAATTGGGTCATATTTTACAAAATATCTCAATTGGGTCCAAATATGTTGTAAAAATAAACCATTATTTTGCCATAACCGTTAAGTTTGTCACAAACGCGTTAAAATGTGCTGAAATGGAATATACCCCACCCCCCACACCCCCCAAACCCACACCACCCCCCCCCCCACCCCCCCCCCCCCCCCCCCCACACCCCCCCCCCCCCCCCCACACAACCCCCCCCACCACCAACACCACCCCCCCCCCCCAAACCCCACCCCCCCCCCCCCCCCCCCAACACCCACCCCACCCCCCCCCCCCATACCCACCCCACCACCCCACCCCCCACACCCCCCCACCAACCCCCACCAACCAACCCCCCCCACCCCCACACCCCCCACCCCCACCAAACCCACCACCACCCCCCCCCACACCACCAAAACACACCCACCACCCCCACCCCCCCCCACCACCCCAACCCCCCCCCCCCCCCCCCCACCCCCCCCCACCCCCCCCCCCCCACCACCACCCCCCCCCCCCCCCCAACCACAACCCCCCACAAACCACCCCCCCACATCCCCCCCACCCACCCCCCCCCCCCCCACCCCCCCCACCCCCACCCCCACCCACCAACCCCCCGCCCACCCACCCCCATCACCCCCCTCCGCTCACCCTACCCCCCCCCCCCCCCACCCCCACCCAGCCCCCCCACCCCCCCCAACCCCCCCCCCCCCCCTCCCACCTCACCCCCCCTCCCACGCCCCCCACCCCCCCACCCCCTAACCCCCCCCCCCACCGCCCCCCCCCAACACCACCCCCACACCCACCCCCCCCCCTCCCCACCCCCCCCCCCCACCCCCCCCCCCTGAGGTGATATTTTATTAAAAAAAATATGCTGTCAGTAATGAACATGGAATTTAATTCAATAAATAAAATAGAAAATTAATGCGATTAAAAAAAGGGGGATTTGAGAGTCCTGAGTTTTTTGTCTTCTTCGCTATCCCTCTAAAAAACTGCAGCACCGTGGCCGTGTCATGAGGAAACTGGAGAAGAGAACTGGTGATGAAGGCAGAAGGTGGTGGAGCCTGACAGGGGTGGATCTGAGGAAGCTCTTGGTGTGGTGAGACAGTGCGCGGAAAACCCCATTGAAGCTTCGTCAGCTCTGGCGGCGGGGACAATGGAGACGACGGCCGGGGCGGCCGTTGATGCTGTTTGATGTGCTGAGCCGGCGACTGTCCGGCGGAAGACGGAGGAGGACAGCAGGATCACGGATGCTCGGCGACGTGTCGAAATCGAGCAGACGGCGCTCCGGAGGCCCCCCTCACGTTTGGGTTGAAGCCCTCATCTTCTTGCCGCTCTGCGACGTCGGAACCCTAGGCCGTCCGCCGCTGCCATCTCCGGTGAGATTTAATCACACTATCTTCACCCTCTTCTCTGCCACGTTTATCTGTGTGCGCGTATCACCTTTTCCCCTCCTTTCTCTGTTTTGATTCTTTCTCGATTTGGATTCGTTCCGGGGGTGATTGAGGCTGATTGGGTGCATTCTAATGGGTTGTTGCTACCAAATAGAGAGATGGTGAATCATATATTGTCATACATATATTAATCAAGTTTTTACTTTTTACTGTAATTATGTGCAGCTCAAAGGGATGAGATAATTGTGGAGTTGTACCAAGATATTATCATGGAAATTTTGTCATAGCTTGAAAGATCTCCTGCTATTCAAGTACGTTTCAAAAGGGTGAAACCAACTTGTCTCCGATTCGGTTTTGTAGTGCGATAGCTTTGGTTTCGCAAAGGAGATGACAGCAAAGATGAACAGGCAGTAACGATTTAGGGTTGGAAGGATTTTCAAATTGGTTCTCTCATGGATTTTGTGAGTGCATGCCATTTTTCTCACTTTTTTCTGCTTACATTATTTTTTTATTTTTTTTTAATTTATTAAATTCCATATCATTACTGACAGTATATTATTTTTAATAAAATATCCACTTCAGTATATCCATTTCAGCACATTTTAACGCCGTTTGTGACAACTTAACGGTTATGACAAAATTGGTTTATTTTTATAAATATTTGGACCCAATTGAGATATTTTGTAAATATATGGACCCAATTGAGAGAGTTGAAAATATGATGACCTATTTGAGATTTCTATATAAACACGAGGACCATCCGAAAGTTTAAACCTTAATTATATAAACATTTCTCTATTTAATTATATAAACAATCGTCTATAAAGCTTGAGAGATACACTAAAACATAAATATATTTATTGTGTTGTTTATTTTTTTCGTTTTTTTTATTGTCTTGTTTCTGACATAATTTATGATGATTTACATTCACTTTACTTCTATTCCTTAAAGAGTCAAACATATGCAAAATTTTATTTTCCATCTGAAAAATTTGCATACTTTATATTTATATGTCTCCTTACATCCACATCTCAAAGTACTTCATAAAACATTTCTTTCTTTCATGATTAAGTTTCACATATGGATGTGAGACACATATTTATGAATCTTCACTTAATCATTCACTTAATTTACAATATTAAAAATACATAAACATAAATTAACATAATATTATATATTATAAATAAGACGTATAAAAAATATAATAAAGAATTAATTTAATAATATAATTACCTTGGATTTAAAGAATGAGCAAGACAATAAAGATATGTTCCTCCTATCCAACAATCAATTAATATTGACTCTATTTTCTCAAAAAAAAAAAAAAGATGAATATTCAACTTATGTTATCCTTTCATGTTGGTATATGATCTTTCTCACATTGCCAACATTGAATTCCACATTTCATATACTAAGTGAAGAGTAACCATGTCTATATCTATTTTTTCTGAATACATAAATAGGGACAGTAAAAACAAGTATATAATCAACCTTCATCCATCAATTGTCAGTTAATAAAGTTTATTTCTCAAATTTTGCATTATCCACAATATCCTTTGTAAGAAGACTCATTCATCACTAACAACTAGTCCTGGAGTCTTTTTTTCAAGCTTCTATAAACCTTTTGAGAATGAAAATGGTTAAAGCAAATATTGTTGGAACAAGATAAAGAAATTTCAATGAGTTGAAGTTATTGAACAATGATAATATTGTAGAGTGTCTCAAAGTTTTTAATAAAAGAAAAACATCTGATGGCATTTGGTTTGGTTCTTTTAATCTTAAAATTTACTTAAAGTTAAAAATAAAACTGTAAAGTTGACGTATAGTACTTTTATAAACTTTAGTTAAAATTCTCAGTAATATATTTTTAATTTGTGATATTAAATAAATACAGAAAAGAAAAAGTTTCTAAAATTAGATTATCCAAAATATTTATATTTTTGTTTGAGAAAAATATAAATAGAGCTTTTTAGTCAATTGAGCAGTGTTTTTCCTTTATTACACAGTCATTTTGGAACAAGTTATGTAAAAACTCTCATGATAGAGCGATGGTTTTACTTTAGGAAAAATATATTCAATTAACCTCAACATGTAAATATTACTTTTTAGTTAATCACTAATATTTTAAGTTTTACCAAGAATAAGATATTTTTTAAATCCTTAAAATATTGTTTAGATTAGAGAGTGAAAAGCGAAAAATGAAAAAAAAATGAAGGAGAATATAGTAAAAAGTGGAGTTATTAAAATTAAAAAAAAATTAAAACTTCTAATTACTTCTCGCCAGAATGATAAATATTTAGTAAATTATTAATTATATAAAATTAATATAGATACGAGAATGAAAGAGAAAGAGAGGTTGATGTATTATTTAGATGTAAGTTTTGGTGGAGACAAGACTCAATTAATTATCAGACTGAAATAGTTAGTAAATTAGATCTTT